AATATGGTTAAAGAAAGTCACTTGGTCGGTTATGAGGTTCAAAACCAACGGACGATTGAGATTCCAAGGTTGGATTTCGGAACTGCCTGTCCGTTCAGAGTCCACATACGAACTGTTCGTTCCAGGTCTCAATGTTGTTCTTCGTACTTAAAAAACTGACCAGATTGACGTGTTGTAAACAGCTTCGTTTACTATCAAAAGGCTCTTTGGGTGAAATTCACAAACAGGCTTCCTGTTTAAAGATATTTCGAATTCATTCTTATTCAATTGGAAATTTAAAAGCCGGAATTCACACCAGTTAAAAATGGGATGTTTGACTTCACACCACTGAATTTGAACCAAACGCGCAAACTTTAAAATAGACAAAAGCAAATATATAATACATGCCACTAAAAAGAAGGCAAGTCATAAACAAACTCGAAAGAGTGCTTAATTGTAAAGCTCAAGAATTTCTTCAAGTGGTATTTAAAGAAACATGCGTCATTAAATGACCGAATCATTTAAATCCTGCAGTGAAATATAGAGCCGTAGGCCCCTTAATTTTAGAGACAGTCTTTAAAAAGTTAAACCTTTAAAAGACTATCGTTTTAAAACTACCGGTTCGTCGACAAGAACTCGCGAGACGTTCAAATACTGCTAAAATACAACTTAACTGACACTTGAGGGTGTGTTTTTGTTTTAGATACCCTTGCGTTAATTCAATTATTGTAAGAATGATCATCATTTAGTCTTTAATAGAGAAGGGCCTTTATCCAACATACTTCTATCTAATGAGTCTGCATCAGTCTTAGCACAGAGGATTGTTGAGCTTTTCGCACAGGTCACTCAATACCTGTTTAGAGGACGTCTTTCATGTAACATAAACAAATTTGACATACCTTTTAAGCTGTATCTTTAACTTGCCACTAATTCCAGGTTACTGCGGAAGGATTCTTCTTACGGGCAAATGATCACCGATATCTCTCTAGTCGCAATTCATTGATGTCAGTAAAATGCAATTTGACCCCCCTTTACTGTTATATCTTTCACTTTCAAAAATAATAAAGTTAAGTAAGAGTAAGAGTTGAATTGGTTTTAATTCGTATATCATTCACTATTTGTGGCTATTATGATGGCATAGTGCTTAAGTTCAAGGTCTAGCCCTATCACAAAGTTTGCTTATGGAAAATTGGGGTTTCCTTAATCAAACAAGCAAGCAAATACGTCCAAAAATACAACAACAAACAACCATTTTTGAATGGTCCTCAATTTTCAGCGTGTGATATGCCTATTCATGTGTAAGAAGAATATCCTCCAATGTTGATCAAAATAGATACGCCAGTTTAAAAGTATCTCACTAAATAGCAATATCTAGATGACTTAACTGAGTTTCTCAG